ACTGAGATCGCGGAATGACTGTGCCACCTTCCAATCTTTCTCGAAGTAGTTAAGCCTAATTTCGCGATTATGCGGATGGTTTCTTGAGTGTATTCTTGTAGAGGAAATCAAGTAGATCATTTCTAGGAGAAATACAAACTCAATATCCAGATCCTCTCGAGAGAAAAAAAAGCCGCGAAAAAATTCGCAATAACTATGCATCAACCTAATATAATATATGCATTCATATTATAGATTATATTATGTATTATATAATATTTTTATATTGTTTATATTACGTATTTATATTATGTTATATATTCATATTATATTTATATTATTATATTATATATACTTTTATCAACGCTCACAACAGTATTCGGAAAACGCTTTTTTTTGTAAATTGCTTTTTTAATGCTTGAGCGATTTGCTTCAAATTTAGGCACGATTGTCGCCCAGTATTACGAACAGGTAAAGTTTATTTTACCGATTTTTTTCATCCCAAGGCGCTCAATAATTGGCAGTTGGTACTTGAGATCGAAAGTGTGGTAACTGGTGGTTTTACGAGGACAACTATATCTGTACGGACAAACTTCCACTCATTGCTCCAGATGTTTCGCACCATTGGTCAAGGGTCAGTTGAGGTGCGTGAGCGACCATTGAAGATGGACTCGCCCGTTTTAAAGAGACACAGACAGCTTCTTCACAGGACTTTTCCGTAAAATCCAGATCCCATAGACGTCTGCTGATGACACAATGAAATGGTAGGGCATCACCGTAGTCAATGTTTCGCCCGTTACATCGGATGATGTTCGCCTGGGAACTTGGCGCGACGCAAGGATATGCTATGGATATGGATAGGATATGCTTGGTCCGGTGACCATTCAGTGCGACTAGTCCTCAAACTTGGGTAATTAAACTTTTATATCACTCTTCAGGACGAGAGTACGTACAAACAAATAACATCGGTGAGCAACGTTTTGAGAAATCGTATTGGAACATAAGGCATAAACATAATTCAACGACGACGGATGAGGATGAGAAAGATGAGAAGAAAGGTGGATGAGAAAGTGAATGTGCGTGAGACAATAAGGATGAGAAGTGAATGCGTATAAAGGAACAAGAATGAAGGCGTATAAATCAATAAAGGTGAAAAGTAAATACATATAAAAGAGCAACACGAATGAATGCGCGATTCTGCATGAGACATAGCCCATGAATTAACAACACGTGAATGAGAGGTTGATTTCGCAATCCCGTATGCGTGCGCGGTTCTCTCGCACAATTTTGATTACTGGAGATCACCTAGATCACCGTCGTGATACTCACCTCTTCGGGATGGTCCAGCTTTAAAATAATAATCTCTATTTGATTCCAGCTCTTGCTCAATTTTTTTCAATTTCGCGGTAGTATTCATAGTTGCGCTCAGGAAGACGGCATATGGCCTTCTTGTGGTCTAGTGAAGAGCAGTTCATGCATAGCTTTATGGGTCTGCTGCAATTACGCGTGTCGCGTCTGATGTTCAAGCAAAGATCACAATGAATGCGCTTCAGCCTTCCCTTCACAGTGGGGACCTCCGGACAGCTGTCACTATAGGGCAAACCTTTGACGAAACAGAACGATCATCGGAGAAAACGGTCCTTTCTTGCATGGGGTCGTGCCTGTTGATCATCCTTTCGGGAACATCGCGCTCCGACTCGACCAGCTTCTTCAGGACGTTTAGCCTGTGCTCAAACTCAAGCCTTTCTTCTTCCGCGGCGGGTCTCTGTCCATCGTTATTATTGTCGTCAATACCTCCACCGTCAGAATGAAGCTCAGAATGCTCGAAAACGACTTCGTCTTCTAAGTCTAGAAGGTCTTCTTCTTCGCTGCTGCGTAGTGGTGGTGTTAGTGGAATCGATGAAAGCGCGCGTTTGAGGAAATGGCACTTGATTTCCTTCTGCTTCTGCAACTGATCCCATGTTTCCTTGACTTTGTGTTCGAGATCCGTCAACCTGTTGATGCATCTTTCCTTTTGCTGGCTGAATTGGTCGAATCTTTCATCAATCTTCTTCTCAAGCCTTGCCAACATGCGCCTGATTTCTTCGGAGATGAATTCATGGGTCTCTGTTTCCGTTTGAAGCTGGGCTCCATGAATTTCCGTTTGGATTTTGTGACAAGATCTTCCAAAAAATCAATCTCCTTGCGAACGAAGTCTGCCGTGGATGTCGGATTCAGGGACACTGCTTTCACCTTTTCTTCAAAAAACTTGTCCTTGGAGATCGCCAACGTATCTTCCGAGAGAACTAGAAGTCCGTATAAGCCCATTGCTGATGTATCCGATGCACATCTTGATTTATCTATTATGTGAGCTCCTTCGAGATGCATCTTTTTCAAATGGCTCTCATAAAGGGTGGATTCGCCTTTTGCATAAAACGGGGGCTTGCGGCCGCGGATTTCAGTGAATGAGCTAAGAGCACTGTTAGATTGGATAACATCAATAACAGAACATAGAGTGGTGCGAACTTTGCGCTAAATTTCTTCTTCTGATGGAAACGTCGGTGCTAATTTATGCGTCTTCTTTTGTATCGAATGGTTTCAATGAGCGCGACTTTTACAGCGCGGTTTTGTCTCGCGAATACGTTATCTTTACTCGATGCCATGGTTCTAAATACCATGAATTGAGTCTGGTGTTAAGTTATATAACAAATTTTATACTGCGTGAAGTAAAATTTTAAGTCAACGTGTGCGCTTCGGCTAGTATTGTAGCGTCCTTATGTTATTTGAACTTCATTTTTTGCAATTTGTTTGGCAATAATCCTGAGTAATGACTACTGCTGGTTTCTTTGATGAAGTGCGTCATTCTAGTCCGAAAGTTCCAGCTGTGTAATGATTAAAGATTTGATGATGTATTCCTTAATGGCAGTTACCATGTTGATTTTTGGACTCATGCTGTGACTTGAGTAGATTTTTATGCACTTGTACTTCTTTTACGAAGTAGCACTGATGTCCACGATTTCGTAGTTCTCCTTCCTGTGATGAAGGGAGATACGATTTTGGGTTTGTGTTCCGGACAGGATGACTTCCTTCAACTATAATCATAATGACTGGTAGCATGAGGGTCATCTTAAGATATAGTGGCGTCGGCCACCTTGGGGTGGGTTTCCTTGTTTGCAACCCATGCACATAGTATGCTTCGACTTCGCGAATGTGTGATTTCCTGGGGCGTAAATTGTAGTGCGGGTTGATGCTTACTACTGGCGGATGCTGTGTGTTTAGTTGGCTTTCCTGTGGATCCACGTTGAAGTCGCAGATGCTTCGTTGGATTTCCTAGGGCACCAACTGGTTGACAGAGCGTCTCAGTGTCTTTCCTTTACTGGTGACGTGTGCTTCTCTCACTTCGCCATCTTGGCTTGGTATTGTTTCCGTGATGCATGCAAGCTTCCAGTGATTTCTTTTCAAGAGTGGTTCTGCTAACAGTACATCTTGTCCTTCTTCTACTTTTTTGCTGCTTATCGGCTTATTATCGATGTTCTGACGGTGTTGTTCTCGTAGAGCCGTGAGGTAGTGTGTTTTCCATTTATCCCAATATCTCTCGGTTAGCTCATAGGATGATTGAAGAGCCTTTTGGCTTGTATACTCGTCTCCATTTGCAGGGCTTCCGATGACGGACGTCTTCCTATCGCCTTGTATAATGCTTGCTTGATCGATCTGATTAGGCGCATGTAGAGCCGGCCTTTCCAGGGCGAGTGCGGGGTAATGTGTTTCCAATCGATCAGTTGGTTGCTCATTTCTCGTAGCACGCTCTCATCTAATGAACTGGTAGATTCATTACGGAGGTTATCGTTTATGATTTGACTTGCAAGGATGAATATGGGAGCATTGTCGCAAATCACTTGATCTGGTTTTCCTCGTCGAGCAACAAAACGATGAAATGCGTTTAGGAATTTTTCAGTCGTGGCATCGGACACAATTTCCAAGTGAACGAGTCGCGTTACTGAGCATGTAAAGATGCGCCCGTGCACTTCCTTGTGTTCCCCGTTATTTCCGTAGATGGGTATAGGACCAAAGTAGTCCAAACCTGTATGTTGGAATGGCCGTGATCTTGTAACTCGATGTTTTGGAAGATACGTCATCTGAGGGTATTTGTAAGGAAGATTTTCCATTTCTGGCATGGCACGCACGCCTTGGTGCACTTCCTGACTTGCTCGCGTAGCATGGAAATGGAATCCTGGGGTTTTTTGTTTCTTCGTCTAGATCCGCTTTGTTTATGCTCTTATGAGAAGACCCTCGTCCCTTAAGTTGAGATTCTTGAACGACTCTTTTTTATGTTGTAGGTGAACCGCTTGGTGGTTCCTGATCAATGCACAGTGAGCATATTGATTGTCTGAAGCAGTGAGGTGATCTCCTCGATACTGTGTGTGAGCGTAGTTCAGATAATGTTGTAGTTTGTTCCTTAGAGGATGCTGTAGGTGGTCTGTGATTCGACCAATGAACCTAATGATGAATGCAATTATCCTCAAAACCTTTGTTTTACTACTATAACGAGAGAGGTCTACCAATTCCTCTGGTTTGTTTATTCTGTGGTCAACATCGTCACAAGGCTTTCCATTGGTACTTTCTCTTCATGAAGATCTACTGGGGCGTCGCTCTTGAACAGTGAAGAGCTAATGCCATTCTCGGCTAAACTCCGGAGCGAGTATGCTTTCCACCAAACATCAGAGATGCTCCACGTGTTCCTATGTCTGCAGGGTTCTGCTTGGTGTCGATGTATCCAAACTGGATTGAATATTCATTCCCTCCAACTGGCTGGCGATGTTGCATGTTTCTTTCACTCGATTTTTATCATACGCACCTGTACCTTAATGGTGCGCTGAGCTCTTTATCCAGCTCAATGCGATTTCCGAGTCGGATAAAAGCATAACTCTGGGTATGCCAATAGCAGATTTCAGACTTAGGTAAGTGTTCAGGGTCAGTCGTGCTCCTATTGCAAGTGCATTTATTTCCATTTTTGGTATTGTAGTTGGGCGTTTATAGTCCGCAACCTCTGACTTGGCTAACGAGAAGTTGGAATCATCTCAGTTGCCAAATATGTACACGCTATCATGGCTATTCCATTAGCGTCGCAGTACGTGACAAGTGAATAGAGGGTTGGATGGTCAACAACTCTTCGACGTACATTTTTATGGAATGTATTTATGTTTTTTGCTATTTGGCGCCATTCTTCTTGCAGGTGTTGACTTAGTGGCTCGTCCCAGCTGTACTTTCCCTTCCATAATTGTTGTTGGAAGTGCTCGGCCTTGACAAGGAGTGGTATGAGCCATCCGAAAGGGTCGTATAATGAAGCAATTTGTTGAACTACCGTTCGCTTACTGATGAATTCTTCCGGTTGGACCTTTACGTTGATGAAAATAGATCCGTCGAAGGTTCCCAACGGAAACCCAACACTTTGGGTGATGGATTTGATGACAAATCTCCTGGTTTGATTGCTTTCGTGATTGCGGAGGTGTTTGACATGAATGCTCTCAAGTTCATTTGAAGCTCGTTGAAGATTGCTTTCAGGTCCTTGTGTTTTTGTATTCCTTCAGGACAGATTCCGCTTTCACGAATAAGTTGTCTACATGAAGATTTGATGCAATTTCTTCTGCCGAAATTTTGTTTTCCGCGTGGTTGTTCAGGTGGTATAGTATGGTTGCGCTCGACAGGAACTGCGAGGCATTGATGCCAAATGTGACTCTTTTGAATCCGAACATTCTCAGATTGTCTACTGTGACTGGTTTGCTTAAATCTTTTAGCCATGAGCACCTGATAAAGTTTCTGTCATCCTTATGTAAATGCATTTGTAAGAAGGCTTTTTCGACGTCTGAGGGAAGGACATGCTGCCCTACACGGAATCGAAGAAGTATACCGAACAGTTTTGGAAGCATTGTGGGCCCTTGATGCACGACGTCATTGAGTGAAGGGCAGTTTCTGTAGTGCGCAGGTGCGTCAAAGACTACCCTAAATTTCGTAGTGTCCTTATCAGAGGTGATGACAGGTTGATGTGGGAGATAATGTCGTTGTTTGTAGGGTTCCTCTTGGCTTTCGTCCGCTACTTCCAGAACGTTTTTGTTGAGCTGTTCTTGAAAACATGATTATATTGCCGCAGAAGATCGGGTTTATCCTTGTACTTTTGCATAATGCTTTTGAGTCTATGAATTGTGAGGGCTCTGTTGTCTGGTAGTCTCTTATGATCGTCTTTGAGTGGTAAACGAGCGACATACCCTTTGTCTTTCTTCTCAATCGAGTTATTGAAATTGGCGAGGACTTGGGCATTGATGTGGGCCCTTTCTTCCCTTCCGGGACCACAGAACTCCCTGTCCATCTCATGAGGCTGTATAGTCCAATGGTGTTCCCATTGACCAAGTATTGAATGTAACTCTACAGCATGAATTGATGAATTCGTACACGTATCCCCTCCTTCCTTGGCGCTCCGCTTCCCCGTGACCATGTAGCCTAGCCGCGTCGGTACCAGAAGAAAACCAGATGGGAGGACGAAGTTTCGTCCTTTAAAGTTCATAAAGTTCCATGATTGGTCACACATGATGAGTATTTGTGGAGCATGAGTTTCCCCTTCTTTTGGGGCAATTAGAGTAAGGTGGTTTTCACGAATAAATTGAAGGTCCTTCTTCTCAAGGCGTCCTCTGTGATAGGTTTTTGTGAGACCATCGCGTGTGAAAACATGTAGGTTATGTTGTTCTCCTGTGGAGTCCCACACTTGCAGATATGTGTCAATGCTTTGAATTTCCTTGGGTTGCTTCTCTCCGAATGTGCACAATTTCATTGTGGTCACGTTATGTTCGGGCAGTTCTAACTTCTTAGCGAAATTTGCATCTATGAAGGAATGATCTGCTCAGGTGTCCAAGAGTACATGCAATCTCAGTGGACATCGTGCGTGGGTGGGTGTACCGTGTTTAAGGTTCCTGATAGCAGGAGTATTTTTCCTTCTTCGCCCTTCGAGTTATTCTCTACTTTCATTACAGTTGAATTCAGAATGCCCTCATCAGAGACTTACTACCCTTGTAGAATGCGCAATTCTGTTGAGCTTGAGGCGTTTTCTTGCTCCCCTCCTTCGTGCTATTTAGTGGGTTTTGACGAGGCTATGCGCTCTGTAATTTGCTTTTGGAAGCATGTTGATGTGTGGTGCTTCTTGCCACATTTCGCGCAGCCTTTACCTTTACAGTCGGCGAAAACGTGATTTTTGGCACCGCATCCTATGAACCAGTTGGACTTATTTAGGTATTCCAAACGTGCTTTCGGACTAACAATTTTTGTGCATTCAACTGACCGGTGATCTTGGTTGTCGCAATAGAAACAGAACGGTGTGCGCCTTTTTCTTATTGCTGCCGGTCTTTCCGATGTTTCTGCTGTAGCATGTTAAGTTTCTTTTCTTTTCGGCATCGACTGTTCGATCTCCTCTTCTTGTTTTATGACCTTATCCAAGGTTGTCATAAGTTTCTTCAATGTCCATGCTTCTTGTTGAGGCAAGGAGACCTTTTCTCTAGGGGTCCTCCTCTGGATAGCTTCTGTGAACTTGCACAGTAGTTTCGATAGTAACCATGGGCTTCCTAAATTTTCGCCTTTGCTCTCCAACTGTGTTGTAATTGCCGACAGTTGCTCGAAGAGCTTGCGCTGATCCTTCAGCTGTGAGCTTCTTGCGCTCCAGTTCCCCAGCTGTTGATGAAGGTTGGTTACAATGTTCTGGGCGTTCCCATACTTTTCCTTCAGATGGGCTACCGCCATGCTGTAATTTGTGGAACTAATCTGGAACCGAGATATAGAGTCGCGTGGATCTCCCTTGAGTGATTTCAGAAGATAATTGAATTTTTGTAGATTAGAAATTGGGAGGGAATGCGTCGTGGCATTGAATAGTTCCAGAAGCTGTCCCATTGCCAGATTTTACCGCTAAACTTCGGCAGCGGAAGCAAAGGGAGCTCTTCTCCTATGGCGGGACTTACCGGATTTCGTGGAGGTGAACCAGAGCTGCCTAATTGTTTGGATTCCAGTTTCTTTGATAATTGTTGCTTGTTGATTTCAAGCCTAATGGGCAAATCTTCCGTTTGAGTGATCCGTCAGTTCTTGTGCTCTCATGATGTGTTCTTCTTCTGTGAGAGGGTTTTTTGTCTTGTCCGCCGCTGCTGAGAAGCTGTACAGTGCTTTCTCAAATGAAGTTTGACGAGTTTTTATCTACGCCTCGACATTACAGATCTGCGCTATCCTATCTTTTAAATTTGCGTCGTCCTCATCTTCATTATATATGCATAGTGAATTGTGTTTTATCAGCAACTCTGAGAAGGTATTAATATGGCTGAGTTAAACCCTTTTCTCAATTCTCCGTACTGTTACCATTCCTTTGGCTTGATGGAATCCAATTTTCCTTTAATACCTGATCAGACGCAAGACAAGGTATGTACTATAATTGGATAACTGATTTTCTAATCCAAAATAGATGCACCAATATCAAAGGAATAATGCGTAGAATCCAATAATGTTCGAATTAAAAGAAACTATGGAAAGTGTTCTAGATGCACTTCAACTTGTAGTGCTCACCTTTCTGGCTGCGGTGGTTTTCCAAAGGATCGTCGTTGCAGATACAATCAATGCTTTAATATACTTGAATGCATCAATGTGCAGAATATGGTTGAGTAATGCACGCTAATGACGCTAACGCTAATGTAATGCAAATAATGAAGTTGGGGTAGGGCAGAGAATGCTTCTTGTGCACTACAGCTGTTTATGGTGCCCACCTCTGTTATGGAACTCAGCACTGAAGAGATGCTTGATCCACTTGGATGCTCTATGCACCGGGAAGACTGAGTAATGTCCGGCTATAACGATGTTTAAATGTAGATAGGGTTTGTTAGGCACTGGTTTGTGATGCCCACCTTTTCGCTTGTTCCTAACACTGAAGGACGAATCGGTTTTGCCATCCACTTGAATGCAGCAATGAACAAAAAATCAGGGATATGCACGAGCTACAATGACGTTTAAGATGAAAAAGCGGCTATTCCTTATGCACTGCAGTGTTGGTAGTGCCTACATTTCTTCTTATGCTTTGTACTGAATTCTCCAGGGCTCGTAACTGTGCTCGAACAAGTCGATGTTCTTATCCCAATTGGCTGCAGCAATGCGCAGTCAATTACTCAGTAATGCACAAGTTATAATAATGTTCAAACTGAAGAACCTATTATCACTTATGCACTCGATGGTTTCTAGTGCCCACCTTTCCGGGTTCTTAAGGTTGGCTTCCCAAGTTTGCTATTGATCGCACTTGATAATCAATGCCTCGATCCCACTACGATGCGCCAACGCACTGAGATGCTCAAGGATGCACGAGTTTTTTCGTTATAAAAGGAAACAATGGCTCAATCCAATTGGATGCACCAGTGATGAAATAATAGTGAAAATGTAGAGGCCATAATACCATTCAAATGAGGAAGAAGGTAGCTTGTAAGCACTACAAACTGAAATGCTCACCCTTCTCCGTTTCCTTCCTGACTCCTCGTGACGGTGGTTCAGTTGCTCCTGAACACTGAATGTCGATCGATCTTTGGCCGATGCACCAAATGTGAGGTCGATAGATATGCTTGGTCCGGTGTCCAATCAGTGCGACTAGTCCTCAAACTTGGGTAATTAAAGTTTTATATCACTCTTCAGGATAAGAGTACGTACAAACAAATAGCATCGGTGAGCAACGTTTTGAGAAACCGTATTGGAACATAAGGCATAAACATAATTCAACGACGACATGTATGAGAAAGTGAATGCGCGTGAGACAATAAGGGTGAGAAGTGAATGCGTATAAAACAACAAGAATGAATGCGTATAAAGCAATAAAGATGAGAAAGTCTAGATCACCGTCGTGGTACCTGTCGTTCGCAGGAGAGGTAATCTGTGAAGTTCTCATACCGGCTCCTTTGATTGGGCCTCCACAAGACTCAATTCCCTGGATAGGCTTTGTAATCGTAGACCTTGATACATTGCATTGGAAGTTTAATCATATTGATTTCTTTCTGAACAAATCTGTGTATATACCAGTCGCTTCGCCGGCTCAGAACGGGTTCTCCCTCTGTGGTAGAGTGGTATGATATGTTACACTGAAGTCTGCCATTCCTTCTTTCTTTTCCAGCCTCAATTATTAGCCCAATGTCTAGAAGTTTTAATTGACACTGATCAAAATCAGTTGGCCACTACATTTACATCTGCGCTCCCTCCTTGTCTTTCGCATTTTCTTGGACTTTGGAAACTGCAGTCTTAAGGGAAGGAAATTGTGACAACCGATAAATCGCACAGCCTGTATCACATGTGTTTCAGTTGATCATTGATTTTCTCGAGTGCCGTTTCCACTGGTCTCTGCCGTGAGTCAGACCAGTCCACTGGGTCCTCCTTACTAAAATGATCTGTGGCATGGCATTCCTTTTGTTTAGAGCTTTCGTGAAAGATCTGATTTTCGCGCTGGCAACCGCTCTTGGTTTGCTTGACTTCCCGGAGGATCTAGTCCGTTACCGCGTTGCTGCAACGGTCATCACAATGTCGCATAACGTGTGCAGCCCACCTAATCTACGATTTGCCGGAGTGCGCAGCGGTGTCTCTGATCTTCGTTCGCTGACGGAGCTCGAAATTTGGGATTCTTATCTGCTTTTGCGTGTATAGGAAAAATCCGAACACCTTAAATAGCGCTGACTGCACCTCATCCTGCTTTCATAGGGTTCGAGTCTCTGAGGCGTATCTTAAAGCAGGAAGGACCACATTGTCGAAAAGCGGAGTATGATGTTTGTTGTTTTCTTCGCTACTCCTTATCTTCTTGAACCACACCCACGCTGCACGTTCCCTTCTGCGTAGCGTGACTTCACGACTTCAATATATGTGGCTAGAGCCTTCAGAGTATTCGTTCTATCTAGCGTAAACGGAGCGTGATGTACCATTCCGTTCCCCATAGTCGTCGTCTTCCTTAAGTACAGCCTGAATCGATTTCTCACGAGCTTGGTCGAGAAAAAAAAACAAAAAGTCGAAATTTCGGTTGTGAACATGTTGTAGTGCTTAAGAAGCATCCTCATATAAAGAGTAGGAACACCTTGATCGCCCGAGACTTCAATTACAGCTTCTATCTTGACGAACTAAGGGACTTCTCTAAATTGACTAACGTCAGGCATGACTGCATCCTGTACGCTTGCGATACTTCAATTATTCTTGTGGCAATGTAGATGGTGACAGTGTGGATGTAAACGATTGTAATGAACCCTCTCCGAAGCCCTGCTCCCTCGCATGGCTGTCATTCATATAGGATTCTGCCAAGATCCTGTTAAGGATCACTAGTGTGGAAAATTTTTAGATTACAAGCAGCAGGCAAATGAGGCGAGTTGCCAATGTCATCTGCGTTTTCCTTCTTGTACAGCAATACGGTCGTCAATTTTGGTTTTCAGCTCCGCCCAGCATCCGCAGATTTTTGGTTCTAGCTCAGCCATTCCGGTGTTCAGCCAAGCTATCATGCACTGGTTTGCAAAACCTGGGGAGAGACGGATAATGTGACATAAAACATTAAGAATTGCGTGAAATGAAAGTTTGTGAGTATATTGCCAGACCTATAACGGTTATGCACAGAAATCTTAACTTCTATCCGTTAAAGAGTAATTCAAATAAGACGCAAAATACGAAATATGGCGCAAGTCGAGGCAGTTGATAGGTATAAAAATTTCCTTTTTATCAATCAGTGAGTGGCTACAGAGTACTGTGGCGGTATCCTTTTATACATCATGTCCCGCAAACATCACTTGGATGGCTTCACACGAGGAAAGATGGGAAACTCCAGGAAGGTCGAACCATGACATGTATAGCTCTGGAGCTCGTATCGCTCACTGCATTGTCTCACGTGCATGGAGAGCATTCCCAACCACCGGTTCTGCTGCTAGGCGGAGAGGAGATGCCCGATCAAGACCAACTACACCAAAGAAAGACCGCTACATTGTGCAGCGGGCAAGAAGAAATCCACGTCAATCAGCTTCTGTGGTTGTAATGGCATTTAATAGGGAGGCATGCCATTTCACGCGCTATAGTAGCACGACGACTGCACGATGGCGGCTTGTACGCCTGACGACCGCTACACTGTGTCTCTTTGACCCTCGTGCATTGGCAAGACATTTTAGGGTGGTGCCAGGAGCATAGGGAATGAACCGGTGAGGAATGGGGCCGTGTGCTCTTCTCCGCTGAAGGCAGATCCAGTCTGAGCAGTGATTCTGGTCGTACCCCTATATGGCAAGGGTTGGGAACATGCAACTCTTCCAGGAACATTGTGGAACGTGATCGTTCTTGTGGCCAAGGTGTTACGGTATGGGGAGGCAACATAAACATGCAGAACCTGCGGCTCGAGCTTTCCTTTGTAGCGCGCCTCTTGAGCGCATTCAATAAATAAATAAATAAATAAACATGCTGCGTAGCCGTACTGATCTCCAGACCCTTGGGCGTGGAACCCTCACCAGTCAGCGTTACTGTGCCGAGGTGCTCCTTCCTTATGTGCTTCTTTTCAGGACTGCTGTGGACCCTGAGTTCATTTTCATGGATGACCGCATCAAATGGCGCAGGAGGAGCTCTTGACACAAGAGGATATCCAGCGAATGGGGTGGCCTGCCTGATCCCCCGACCCGAATCCCATCGAGTACGTGTAGGGTGCATTGGGTAGACGCATGGCAGCACGTCTAAATGCACCAGTGACCATCCAGCAATTGTCAATTGCACTGACAAAGGAGTGAAATGCCCTACCACAATAACTCATTACCAACCTCGTGCTGTGTAAAGTATGGGATCGTGTTGCAGAGGATGTATTGCTGTCCGTGGGAGTCACACACCCTATTAGAAACTGCGCTGCTCTTTTCAAGGTAATAGGATGCTTTGAA